GTAACTCACGGTTTCACTTCGCTGTTCACTTCACTGCAGACTTGAAATTCTTGGCCGCATGCGCCGCTCTTTCATGTTCTCACCTCTCCAGAGAGGTGCACTGTGGATTGTTACCCCGGAGGGAATTGCTGTTTGGTAGTGGCGGTACGGTGGTGTGCTGAGGTTCAAGGACACGATGGCGGACGCTGACTCCAGCAGCGAGGAGATGTCCGCCGCAACCAGTGCAGGTGACGGTAGCGGGGACGACTGGATGAATGCGGTAAAGCATTTGCAATGCGTTTTTTGCGTGAACATGAATGCTGTGGGTTTGAAAACTTGAAACTGCTCTGCCTTGAGCGGACAAAGCGTGGGAAGAAGAGAGGGGCGCAGCAGCATCGATAGCGTGCGAAGGAGCATAGCAAATGGATAGATTCGCAGGGGCCGGGGGGGGGGGGGGGGGACAATCGCTGGACACACGTTCTCCGGGCGTGACGAAAAAGCGATTCGGATCGCTATCATCATGATCGTTGGCATCAATAATTATCATGTTTTGTAAATGGGCACACGATGCCAACACCAAACAACATAAGGAAAAAAACACTGGCTGTGTGTCCTTACCAATGGCAATGATGTTAATGTTCACGATGAGTTTTTAGGACATTGTCATTGGCAAATCGAAGAGGCTAAAGGAGCTCTCTTTCTGATGATATTGGTCAGGCTCTCGCACAGTGAGATGTGCATGTGTTGCTTTTACATGTACTGATCATGGATCTCAAACCACGTACTGTATAAGCAGAAATATTCGTCTGGAATTTAATTTCGTCTTTTTCGTCCAAGGAGCTTTTGGACTAAATTAAATGCTGGACAAAATGTCGATTTGTCCAGCTTTTCAATACACTCTTATGACCCATGGACGAAATTTACAACCGGACGAACTCCCTTTCTTAGGAGTTGGACGAAATTATTGACCGACGGAATTTTCTGAATGTCCAGTACTAGTGTATGCACAGCAGCCATGATCACTGTGATCAGGAAGTGATACAGTTATGTTACTAGTATTGTATTACCACTGGCTACGGGGGGGGGGGGGGGGGGAGTACAGGGCCATAGCACCCAGTCTGGCCGGTCCAGTCCGATGGCCCCACATTATTTCCGAAAAGTTCACCCACCCAATCATGGTGCAAAACGGGTTTTTTCGTCAGCTTAGTTCATTTCCGGTCAAGTTCCTCATTTGGCCGGACCGACCAAAATCACGGTGCTATGGCCCTGGCCTATACTCCCTGGTTACGACCAATGATATTATGGAATCGTCCCGCGATAATTTGTCCAATAATGGTGTTCCTGGGTTCTGTCTGACAGTGACTGGGATGCTGTCTCCCAGATCATGGCGGCTCTGTTTGCGAGGGATGGCTAATGTAGTGCTTTCTGATAGCAGCTCCTGCAGCCGGTTGAGGCCTGTGCAGTATCAAGCAGGTTACTCATCTGCCACTACCGTGACTCTTTGTCCCATCCAGCCAGCACTCCAGTACACTCATACACCAGGCCGCAACAAGGAATCAAGAGAGTTGAAAAAAAGTAATGGTAGAAAATGGCTGGAGAAAAGAATCTGCTCTGAACAGTTTTTCCACAAGATCCAAGATCCATCAGGAAAAAGGACATGCACTACTTTGTTTGTATGATTAGTATTTTGATCACACGTCGATCCACGTGCCCGCGGAGGAACCGCACGTTTATCCGTTCGACAAACTCCAAGTCGTCTTTAGTTGTCGTAGGAGGAGGGCGGCCTCTGGCCGGCCCTGGGCGGAGAGGGCATTTTCACCCGCCATCAGTGCATCCGTCGTGTCCGACATCTACAGACAGATCGGGAGCAGAGAACATACAGCGAGCGGATTTACCTGACAGGCCAACACCACGTTGGGCACATGTATATCACATCGAGTGGACCTCGCCGAGCACTAATTACTATGATCGAGACGATACTGGTCACGGCACCAAGTGTGATGATCACGCTTGCCTAATCCCTAACGGCGGAATCCATGTGAAAAGTTTAAACTATAATCGACTGCGACAACCAGCATGCAACTAAGCTACAGTTAGGACCATAACCGTGCAGTGCAAGGAATTCTCTAAGAAACTAGGAAACCCTGACTCTTCATGCAAAAAATGCATTTGTCTGACTCTACAACAACCCGGACTACGTCCACACAATAGAACACCATAGGTAGATACGTTACACAATCATGTATTAGGAGTAGAACGGGGCATAGGAAAAAAAACTGTCCACCGCTTGTTGTTGCACTTTCTGACTGAATATAGTATCTAGTTATAGTGGTGGATAGTTACTCTTAACTCTTATCCGCATGTCCCTTTCCTTTCTGCTGTTGTAAATTGTAATTATTATGCATAGTCATGGTTGTAGCATTGGGGTATATAACTGTTAAATTAACTTACATGCAAATGGTTACGAACGTACGGGTACTACCGTGCATGCAGGGTCATCACACTAGCTATTGTGCTCACTCACTGTGTGTGTGTGTGTGTGTGTGTGTGTATGCGTGTGTGCGTGTGTGTGAGCACGCACGCACGCTCATGTGTGTGTGTGTGTGTGCGCGTGCGTGTGCGCGCGCGCGCGCGTGTGTGTGTGTGTGTGACATTGTATGCAGGCATTGAGCTGGTCCATCCTGACCATGCACTACTTATCAAGTACGTCTGGCACAGATCCGCTGTGGGAACGGGCGCTGGAGAACCTCAACAGACACGAGGAGCAGCACCCCAAGCCACGACTACCCGCTGCTTCGCTGGCCATTGAGTCACGTGATGAGGCTGACGGCCTGATCACGGAGACAGTCAGCATTGTAGAAGCAGCGGTTCACAATCTCCGCACTCGCCGGCAAATGCTCGAGGAGAGGAAAGAAACTGCTGCTTCTACCACACAGGAGCAGGAGGCAAGTTCACCGTCCCGCCCCGAGCGGGAAGAATGCATTAGCCCGGATGACATGGAAGAGGACCAACCCAGTGACGACACCACGGAATGGTTGCCATTCCCCTCCAAGCGGCCATCACAGATGGACCTGCATGGCTGGATATCAGACCTTCAGACTAGCTTTGGTTCCAGTATTGCTGGCCAGTTCAAGCGGCAGCGACTGGAATCCGACGAGGGTGCAATGTCCGTTGAGCAACAGGAGAGTGTAGATCAGACGGACACAGCTCCTGACAAGGGTGCTTACCTGGTCATGATGCGCAAACGACAGTAAGGCACAGGGTGCATTGGGCTCTCTCTTTCTCCGCCTCTCTCTCCTCCTCCTCCTCCTCCTCCTCCTCCTCCTCCTCCTCCTCTTCCTCTCTCCTTGTTCAGGCGCGTACGCAGGGGGGGTTTCCCGTTGCCCGGAAACCCCCCAAATGTTCCAAACGAGCAACGTTTTTGGGCATTTTTGTAGGGCGCACGATCGATCTGGCAAGAATATAAAACTTCAACAGATCGCAACTCAGTCAAATCTCGCTCAAATCCAACGATCCAAATATCCAGGTCGAATAGAAAACTCTCAGCTGTCGGTTGAAACAATTTTCGACGCGCTGCGAGCAATGTCTCTTGAGATAAACCATTCGTAAGTTGAGCCGCGATCTCGCAATTTCAAAAGCGCGCAGTGCGTCTGGAGTATCCAGAATTTGAGACTTTTCGTCGCATTGACTTGCTCAATTTTGCAGGGGCTTTCACTTGTGATATTTTCAAGAGAACACAGCCAAAAAAATCGAAACTCTGGGATCAAGAAAAACGAAATCCTTGGAGCAGGACGCGGTTAAGCCTTTGGGGCATTTTTTCGCACCGTCGCTGCACTCTACCGCTATAAATAGCCATAGCGCTGGATATGTACATGACTGTACTGTGTCCTGGCTATCAAGTATCATGGTCGACCTCATTCTCTCCCTGGTACCTTTCCACTTCCAGGAAGCCCAAGATAATGAAGATTGAGTGAGTAGAACTGAAGTTATGATCCAAAGAACACGAAAAATGCATAATTTTGAAAAATTTCCTAGGGTTCTTTAGAAAGGGTTAAAACGAGTCATTGTTTGCGATTCGGTTGGAAACCCCCCTAGAGGTGACCCTGCGTACGCGCCTGTTGTTGTTCTTGTTGTCGTCGTCGTCCTCCTCCTCCTGCTATAGCCCCCCCCCCCCCCTTCTCTCAGCATAGTACTGCCAGCACGCACAGCATTGGTGGCACCAGTACACTGGTACTTGATGACATAATGATCTGCGATGAAGCATGTCAAAGTAAGGGTCTGGCAATCCTTCTCAAGGGTGACTGCACTATAGCCGCATCATAGCTGCTGCTAAATTTGCCCCAAACCCTTCGCTTTGCTTGTCAGTATTCTGATACGGATGTCTTGCTTGCTTCCTTGCTCGGCTAGGGAACTTGCGGATGAACTCATCTCGTCCGAAGCACGTTATGTTGAGGACCTTGAAGCAGTGTTGAAGGTTAGTTTAAAACATTAAAACCCTCCTGCTTCCCAAGGACTTGGTACACGTGTTTCCATGCAAGTTGTCAGTCTACTCAATGTCCTCTTGCTTGCTAGGTGGGGCTTAGTCTTATGTATGTATGCATGTTTGCGGCATCTTGTGTGCAGAATTATTATGAAGGTTATGACTATGGCTCCCTTGCCAACGTGCCAGGAACACTGCGTGGCAAGAAGAACATCATATTCGGGAATTTGAAGAAAATTCTAGAGTTCAACAAGAGGTAAGCACCCTACTTTGCGCTATGACAGGGGTGTCAGAAAGTATTTTACATTGGTACAGCCATGGAAAGGCGGGGGGGGGGGGGGGGGGTCGCGGGGCCCTCCCCGGGAAATGTTTAGGAACCAAATAGCCCACATTTCATTGCTTCAGAAATCACAAGATAAAAGTATTGGCGAGGCTTTGGCCGCACCGGTTCCGACGCCCCTGTCTGATGTGAGTAAGTTAGATGTGTTCTTTAGGGGTTTAGTGGTGTGTGAGAAGACAAGTAAATAGTTGTTTTGGCTTACTGTGTGGTCTGAATTCCTAGCTGTGGCCCCAGCTTGCCTCCCAGCACGCGAGCTGCCTGCTCAGAGGAGGGGCTCAGTAGGAAAAAGGCACACATCATAATATTATGACTCAGCATGCAGCACATGTATACAACAGTTATGCACCGCGTGATGAGAGTAGTCAGCACTACACATATGTGTGTGTGTGTGTGTGTGTGTGTGTGTGTGTGCGTGCGCGCATGCGTGTGTGTGCGTGTGTTCTCACTGCAGTTCATTCTCACCCGCTCTGGCGGCCGTGCAGAAAACTCCGCTGAAAATTGGGCAGACATTCATGGACTACGTACGTGATGGTATACAAACGCATGCAGTCATAATTATGTACTGTGCATGCGTACGCACATATTACATCCACTAGCGGTATTCAGTATGATCGGCAAACATGCAAGTTTTAATGGATTTATGAAATGTGCTTGTTGTCTATGGCTCCATTCCTTTTCTTTATCGTTTCATTGCTGTTGTTTTGGAGAATTTGGAATCCTTTGTTCATCTCCCTACTTATCAAACTTGAGACCAAAGTAACTACATATAGGAAAGTGGATTACAGCAATGGGTTATTTCTCTACTCCGGTAACAACCAATAAGTAAGCTCAGCTCAACCTTATAAACTGTGTTTATAAGGTTGTTTATGTTGGTTATGCACCTTGTGCTGGTGCTTGTGTTGGTGCTTGTGCTGTGCCGTTTATGTTCACACATGTATTCTACACTATTCGTCTTCCTGTCCTGCAGGAGCGTGAGCTTGGCCTGTACTCAATCTACTTCAAGAACATGCCCGCCCAGGAGGATCTTCTGCAAGAGAATATCCAGTTCTTCCGAGTAAGCCAGTTACTTACCTGTCACACTTGTGCATTGTCACGTTTCTCGCCTGTATTCCTCAAGCCTCGGTGACTGTACGAAGTTGGGCCCTGTTGGGAGGCTGGTACATGTTCTATTTCCAGTGAGCTATCCGTCTAAATGTACCCCTGACTTCCTCCCCTTCTCTCGGGGAGATCCGTTTGGCCAGTTTCTGGTGACTAGCTAGCTACCCGTACTACAGTGGAGTGGAGTACGTCATGGGTGCATGTACACAATGCTTTAACTAAGTAAAAGAAGAGATACCGGTACATAGTATGTAGGGTGTGTGTGTGTGTGGGGGGGGGGGGGGGGGGGGAGGTGGATGCGTGCACATGCATGTGTGTAACTAACTTACTGACTATTACAACTGATATACTGTATTCCTGTCCGTGCAGTCAATCCAAATCCGTCTCAATGACCCGTACACGTTACAAAGTTACCTCATCAAGCCCATGCAGCGCATGACCAAGTACAAGCAGTTCCTAGAGGTAAGACTCTGTCTCTTTCGTCCACTTCTCTGCATACTGCATGAAGATAATACAAGTTTTGCCACATGTAGCCTAATGGGTTGCACACCGAAAAATCTGAACCAATTCTTGAACTTTCTTTCGGTAAATGCCCATCGTCAGTTTTCTGTATTTTGTTGTTGAGGATGCTCAATGTAGGAGCACGGTTGTGCGGTCATTAAAACCCGTGACGACACATTTATCATTTGAGGCTTTTTGTTTGGAGTGACATCACAAGCTCTGGTTTTCCACTCCATATTGTGGCAATCAATGTGCTTGATGACATTATTCGGCTAATCCCGATAGCAAGGATGTTTCTGCCAGTCCGGGTTGGTGTTCCTTGTTTACAATGTGTTACGGCATTCTCTGCATGTGTTCAGAGTTTTGTGAACTACACACCCAAGACTGAGAAGATGGAGAAGTTTCACGAGGAGCTGTCCGGAGCGCTGTGGCTGGTCCGCTTCCAGCTGCGGCATGGCAACGACTTGCTGGTTCTGGACCGGCTAAAGGGCTTTGGAGTAAGTGTGGCGCAGTACATTAGTTTGTGCACGTCACATGTATGTTGCTGGTGCATGCACATGTTGCTGTTGTGTGAAACGCAGTCTTCGACTTGAGTTTGTAAATGTCCAGTGCACATGTGTTTCCGTTGTCTACTTGTCAGTATAGTCTTCCGAATGTAAATGTTCATGGCACGGGGCTGGGAGCAGAACTGAATAACTTGACTTACAACACTGTGTGACGTGTGTGATGTTGGCGCATGGATGGAAAGATTGATTTCGAACTGAAGTCAAGCATGTTTAAATAATGTGGTGCTAGGTAATGCAGAACCTTGCAAGTAAGTTACGGTCTGAACTTCACAATTCTCTTTGAGCTGATGCATGTGCTGGTGTGGTGTTGTCATCAAGTTGTCAAGTTGACTCATGGCCATGATCTGTGTTCACATCACAGGGCAATCCGGCTGAGCAGGGTCTGCTACTTCGACAGGTTAGTGCACGGGGGTAGGGGTCTTTGATGGCAGGATAGTGTATGCTGTACTGTGTTCCACTGCTGTCACCGCGATCCTTGTTTCTCCCCAAGATTATTATCACAGTGAGTTGTCACGGCTTAGCATGCACTTTGTATTGAACAATGGCTCAGCATGGCCAGACACGTTCGGTGAGCAATACTGTGTTGCTGCCTTGCCACTGCGGCCTCAGAACGCCTACTGAAATGTGTGCATGTACATCAAAGTATAATGTGGACACCGCAGGGCATCAGCGTGTAGTTCCACAACCGCTAGAAAGATCACTGAGATCCACCAAACAGAGGCCAAAGGTCGACTTGGAGTCCCATTTGCTGTATCAGTATTACCCCGGCTTGTGCCACTGGCCACATATTTCCAGTACACTGTGAGTTGCAGCACAGTTGAAAAAATCCACCTGTTTTTAACAAGGCCGTCACAGGCGGGGCGGCTGAGGCCGCCCCACTTTTTCGGCGTTTTCTTCTTCTTTTGGAGCACACTGCAACAAAGCACGACGATCACAGCTCAGCGCAAACGTGGCAAATCCTTGTCGACATGTCCCCGATCGTGGTTTGTTGCAGAATCAAAAAGTCTTTCAAGTCATTGCACTTACAATCATGTACATGTACACTGAAATGGCACCAAAATGCCTGGAAATCCTTGCAATTGGCTTCAATTTTTGAATTTTTCCTGGGGGAGGGTAATGTTCATCCCCGATCGTAGCGCCTTCTTGGTTTGTTGCAGAATCCAAAAGTCTTTCATTGTAGTTACCTTACACTGAAATAACACCAAATGCCCAGAAATCCTTGCAACTGGCTTCAAATTTTGAAATTTTTTTTCCGCGGGAGGACCCCCCGACCCCCCTTCCATGGCCGCCCCACCTCCAAAGTCTGTGCAATGGGCCTGTTTAAGTCTTGCTGCCCCTTTTTTCTCAATCATGACCTCTAAAATAGACCAACCCGCTGTGCCGTAACGTCTTGGTAAAATGATGTTTACCTGTTCTGTTGTTCATTCAGGGAGAGTTCCATGTGCAGAACAAGAAGGGGCGTCACGAGCGCAGGGTGTTCCTCTTCGAAGAAATGCTCCTGCTCGCCAAGAAGCAGAAGCCGGCGAAGGGTTCCAGGGAAGCAACCTATCTCTTCAAGGAGGGCTACAAGGTATGTACATGTACAGTACATGCATGTGCCGGGGTCGGTACTACATATGGAACCTAGCATCCGGCTACTCAAACAACTTCCCAGGAAGACAATTCCCTGACTACTATTGAAGTTGTAGCTAATCACCTCGCTGGTGTTTTGTGTTGTGCAGGTCTGTGACATGGGCATAGTGGAAACTGTTGACAACAACCCAAGCAAATTTGAGCTGTACTTCAAGAAACACAACAACAGAGAGAGCGTGGTTCTCACGGTAAGGTCGTCTGGTTGTTTGTTTGACTTTGTCACATGATGAATTTACGGACCAAACGGACAGGACTGTTCAGTGACAAGGAGGTGTTCTTCTTTTTTTTTGCAAAGGAAAGGGGTTGAAATGGTTTGGTGATAAGGTTACAGGAGATCGGAACATGTGTTGTATCCCAGCTTCCTTTGACCAAGACCGTGCGAGGCTTTTTGATCCACACCCAGAAGAATACAGGGTCTGCAATTTTTGAAGTTACCCTCAATTTCTTCTTTCAGTGAGTGGCCTGAAAATCATAGCAGCTAGTGTTCCATAGAGCCAGGCCAATGCCATGTCTACAGCGGTTTTAGACGCATACCACTGTGCACTAATTTGTTTTACCTACTGATCTCCTCATGGCTTTGCCCTTCTCTGATTGTGCGTGCTCTGTGTAGTGGGTGAAAACCTCTGAAAATGTCCATTCCGGTTATTCCTTTGTTCCTTTGGAGTGCGCCTGTCAGAAACTGCACGTTTGGTGTTTGTGTGTTGTTGAAATTTCTCACTTGAAGCATGCAATGCAGTGAATATATTCCATCTTGAGAACATGACCCTGTGTGTTTGGGTGAATTTCCGTCCGTTTGTGGTTGTGCCTTGTGCTGTATGTTCAGCCCATGGATACAGAAGGTAGAAGTGCCACAGACATACATGACGAGTGGGTGGCGGATGTGCAAAAGTTGCTCTGGCAGCAGTTCAAGAGAGTGAAAGGTAAGCCGAGAAATGACCGTGGAAAGTACCATAATTGCATTTCGCTGACATGTTTTTAGGATCACGCTGCTCCCGCAGCACGTTGTGAGCTTCTGATATTAAACGACTTACCACCGAGTAAAACAGTGGAATGGCTCCAACTGCTAGAGGAGCTTGGACATTTGTTATCTCTCCCTCTCGTTGTGCGTGCTGCAATGAGCAAGTCAAGATTTCATTGAAATGTTATCTGTTCTTCTACTTGTGTTCCAGAGCGCATGGAGAACCTTCGCAGTGGCGTGGAGGCATCCATGTTTGGCAACAAGCGTGCCAGCACCATTTACGGCGAGGTGGGAACGTTCGGCGGCACCCCGCCTGGCAGCGTATCACCGATGACATCAATGCGCGGCGAGAGCATCGTGAGTGGCGGCTCGAAGGATCAACGAGGCTCCGTGCAGACGGCTGGTTCTGGTGGATATGCTGTACCCACTGGAACTCTGCAGCGCATCGGATCCGTGAAAAAGCCAGCTGGAGGTCACGACATCAGTGGCCATGATATCAGCGGGCCGATTCGCCAGCCACCGCTTGCTGCAGCCGCCTCGCCGACAGCGTACGCAGTGTCTTCTCCCGTCATTGTCGGCGCTACCGGTACAGTGGATCCACGCAGCAGGCCTGCACCCACGGTGCCTCCTCCGCCCATACCGTCGGCAGAGAACTCTGCTAGCTCCGTTGTCTCTATGCCACCGCCACCCCTGCCGGCGCGTAACTTCCCAGCGGCGGCGGCTGCGTCAGATTACTTGACTCCGGACGAACCGAAGCCTATCAATCCCATTGCTCCATTGCCAGCCCCGCCAGTCGACTCACAAGGAGAGGACGATCACCAGTACGAGGAACCTCCGCCGCGTCCTCCGTCACCGCTCGCCGCTGACTACAGGTCGGATGAGAAGCCTAGTCCAGTCCAGCCTATAACGCTGCCGGCGGAGCCAGAGGAACCAGTCAAGAGGCTCGTATCGCCAACTCGTGCACCTCCGCCGCCGCCACCAGCAATGGCGGCGCCAGCAAGTGACACAGCCCGACCACCTCTTCCAGCCATTCCCGGCGACGAGGGCCAAGGTGGCGAGGGCCAAGGCGACGAGGGCCAAGGTGGCGATGGCGAACACATCTACGATGAAGTGTCCGGTGGAGAAGACGACGACGGTTTTGACGATGACGACGAGTTTGATCCTCCTCCGGCCGACGAGGACCGGCAGTCCGTGGCGACGGAGTATGAGACTGTTGATGGGCCTGCTCGCAAGTCCTGATCACTAACGGGAAGAAGTTGACACAAGTGTGCTCTGAACATGCAATGGCAATCTCTGTGGATTTGATTTGCATTATTTTGTTTAATTTCCGATGATTTTCCGCCCAACACTGAATTTGTTGCGGCGGTTTTACAGATGATTTTGTGTAAACGTTTGGCTATTCCATTTTGCTATTCGACATTTGATGAAAGTTGTCTACCCAATAATCTGTTGTGGCCTGTAAGGTGTGCAACCCCCGGAAGGATTTGTTTCTAAAGCGGATTTGTATTTTCAACCATCTGCCAGGGAAGTAATGATGGAAGTCTAACTTAGATTTGCTATCTCAATGTTACTTTAGTAATAGAGCAATAGTGAACTTTGAAAAGAACAATTTATGCCAATTACTGTATAATTATGTGACACTGTACAAAGATCATGCCAATACGATGTGAAGTGAAATTATGTGAGCGAAACCTGCACCACCAGCATGCATGGAGTACAGATACAGGTACAGCCAGACCTCGCTTATCCGGTCCTCTTTTATCCGGGTCCCCGCCATCCGGAAGAAAATCGTTGGTTACCGATTTACAGCATATGCCATGCATACATACAGTATGTGTGTTCGATTATCCGGTTCCCTCGCCTAACCGGGATATTTTTGTGGAAAACGGATGATGTGTGTGGTTATGCGGCGAGGTCTGACTGTACTACTACTCGCATAGTACACAGATCTGCTGTCCCAGCTGATGCACGGTTTGGGTGTGCATGCTCCAGGCACCATACACTTGGGTGTACGTGCTCCAGGCACCATACACTTGCTCCCGGGCATACACTTTGACTTCATAACACGGTGCCAATCGGATGTCACAGTGGTCATATTGAATTCGAAAATAAGAGCACGGTCCTGTAAGCCATATGGGGGCGGGATTGGGTTTTTTACTAAACTGGCATGTACACATTGTCGAAGCAGGTCAAGCTATACCATCACAAGGCCAAAGAACATTATCACGTTATCAGTCACTCACTCTAACAGTGGAAGGAAGATCTAACTGTTTTCAGAAACCGAAATCTTGAAATCCAGAGAACATGAAAACACAACCCCGTGCTATATCAGTCTTGGAGAGCTGCCCAAGTTGATTCCACAAAATGAGACCATGCTCCAGAAATTGCCGGGCACTCGTGGAACACAGCTGTACGAAAGCTGAACACAAATCACGAACTGCTCGAGTTTGTTTTAGAAAGCCCGGCGGTGCAGCGTGTAAGAATTTTTCCTCCATTCTCTTTGCTCCAGCTTCACAGAAATATTATAGCATTGCAGGTCATAATCAGGACAATATACCATATTGTAATTGTTAAGTAGTTGGTTGTTCCAACTAGGAATTGTTAATAAATTAAAAACATTTATAGTGCCATAAATATAGCACAATGAAATGACAGCTAGGCCTAGGTGTGTCTCCTCACCATATATGTCCCTAACCCCGATGTACATGTACCCTAATATAGGTGTGGCTCTGCGTCAAGTTGCTACAGGTAGATATACTGCAGCGTCCTGGGCGTGGTATGACAACTCAGTGTACATACAGACGCAGGGTGTCTTCACTGTGTTGTTGCGCATTAGTCCTGCATAGCACACAGACAAACACAGCGGACACACACACACTGTTGTTATGCCCAAAACACAGTCATGTAGCGACTTTCATTCAATCTCAAAATTGCATCATGCAGCATGCCAGGTACAAATACAGCCACAGCCTTACCTCTAGAAGTTGACCATGGCTCTCCAGGGGCAGGTTGTAGCTTGCCAAGCCGGCCACAATGAACGCAGCACCAAACGTGACAGTCCCGAGAATGGTTGCGTTCTGTAGTAGCAACTGCACGGTGCAGACAATGGCAGAACAAGTGAAGCGCAAACGCATAGCTTATCAAGCCAGCTAAACTCTAGCTGAACTCTAGATGGACTGGATCCATGGTCTTATGCCACACATTTCGAAGCAGGTGTACTGTTGTACATTGCGTTTGAGATATCAGCATCGTTGAGGTGGAACACCGGTCTACAAAGTGATGGTAGCCAATGTGCTTTGCACACCCTGCACTGTGACATGCTTTGTCAGCCATTTCTTTAGCCTTTGACAGCAAAGTACAGATTTCTATGAGCCTCTGTAGAGTTGTGTACATGTAGCTGTTAGGAGTATACTCACAGTTGCAGCCCATGGAGACATCATGGCACCAAGCAGGCCAAAAGCAAGCAGAGAGCCATTCGCAAAGCTCCTCAAGTGTGTAGGATACACCTGGAGATACGGAGCAACGAGAGAGAGAGAGAGAGAGAGAGAGAGAGAGAGAGAGAGAGAGAGAGAGAGAGAGAGAGAGAGAGAGAGAGAGAGAGAGAGAGAGAGAGAGAGAGAGAGAGAGAGAGAGAGAGAGAGAGAGAGAGAGAGAGAGAGAGAGAGAGAGAGAGAGAGAGAGAGAGAGAGAGAGAGAGAGAGAGAGAGAGAAAGAGAGAGAACGAGAGAAAGAGAGAAAGAGAGAGAGAGAGAGAAATAGCCGGAGGAGGAGGACAACGACGACGGCGATGACAACGATGAGAGAGGAAGAAGAAGATAGAGAGAGAGAAATGAGAGAGATGAGAGAGAGAGAGAGAGAGAGAGAGAGAGAGAGAGAGAGAGAGAGAGAGAGAGAGAGAGAGAGAGAGAGAGAGAGAGAGAGAGAGGGCAATGCCAAGCACTGCGCATAACCATATTCTCCATAAAATTCAGGTTAATCCTGTTGTTACTGTATATTTGCCTGTCCTAGTCCTCGGTAGCAGCCGGGAAGCAGGCTGGTCTCTACATGCTGGATGGGATCACTGAATACCAAATCAACTAAGGACTAAAGACCGAGGTGGCCAAGTCCTGGCCCGGGCGTAGCTTACCTCGGCTGTGTAGACCAGTAGTATCTGGATGGTGGCTGATACAGCAGCACGCTGTGCGCTCAGTACCACTGTCGTGCCAATCCTGAAATAGGATACAGCAGAAATGGGCAGAATGGGGCTTGTCCCAGTTCAGAAGTGGCTATCTACATTCTACAAGTAGTATACAGGTCTATCATCACTCAGCGACTTCAAGCCTATCTCTTGCACAGACAGGGAACACATACGTATACACAGCAGGAACCTATAGATCATGAGATTCCGCTCAGGGGCCTTGTGATCTCCCCTCAGGCTGACCCCTCCATGCCACACATGCCATAAATATACCCAGTGCACTGGAAACCATCGAGCTCGCATCACACAACCTACTTGGGACCGGATCCCTTGCTTAGCTGGGAACTGTGCGAAAACTCAGAATAATGGGGAAACATGCCCGACATGAGATATGTAATCGGTACATGTTTGTGCAGCCATGTGTATGCATGATGCTGGATGTGGGAACACAAAGCAGAATATGCCGGACATTGTGCACTCAGGAACACCGTCGTGCATTGTGGCTTAGGCAGCGACTGTCCGGTCGGGGCAGTGATGTGGACACATCAGTTGAACGCACGATAAGTGGAATTTATGTACACATACAATGTGCACATCTATGGTGCAAATATTTGGAGAACACCTGACTACTTGTAGCTTGCCTTCCAAGTTGAGGCACAAAGGCGAGAGGCAGAACAGTAGCAGAAGCAGAAAGGGCGGTGATCCACATAGCCTTCCGCCGACCAGATCGCTTCATCAGCGTCAAAAAGAACAGGACACCTGACCAGTAGAAAAAAAACATGCAGTGCAAAGGTATACACACTGGAGGATGTCCCCATGTTCCAAGTCACGGCACCGCCATCATTATTTCATTGCCAGGCCAGTCTCAATTTACACTTGTGATGACAGTAACGTTACGAATGAGGCAAAACACAAATTATGCGTGCGTTAGTTGCGATGGTGGTGGGCTATTCTTGTAACCAGCAGCAGGAGACTTGGTAGCATGCATGCAGTCTTGCCGAGCTCATCTGGCAACCGTCATCTGTCCAAGATCCAGGCTTGGGGGTAGATGGTGACTAGACACCAGAGTACCACATTTTCCGGAGTATAAGTCGCACTTAATCATTCACCTAAAAAAGGCTTATTAAATTAAAGGCATATACTACGATGGTCAGATTAACGGTGGTACATAGGGAAGATGTCTGGGTTTCATGACAAAATATCTGGGATCGGCTTATACTCCGGAGAATAGGGTACATTTACCAAGACAAGAGTATGCGCTCCCAGCTCTCACCATACTGGCGCGCGGCTTGTGTTTTCGGCCATTCCCGCGTGATCTCGTGGTCACACGGCCTATGCGAACACAGCTGGCCCATACATACACACTAAAGGGACATGGACCCTGGTGAAGCCATACGTACTATGTCACCGCTAGGCTTTTTGACGCCATACGCCGGCTTCGGCATAGGTTTGGTAATACCAGTACAAAAGTCATGTACATACCTGGTAGTGCGCACACTGATACAAGCACGAGTGCTAGGAAATCTTTCCAGCCGAAGACAACGCACGGCATCAGAGCATCTGTGCAGGGTACACATGTATACAAAAAGGGCATCAGTCACACAGGTGATGCGCTATGTCGGCGAAGAGCAAACGGTCACTGAGGAGAAAAGCAACACCTGAGAGAGACATGCCCCGGTCTAATGTTAGCCCCTCTGCGGCAGCAAAGTCGTTAGTCACAGGTTCTACTGTACTTGTAAAGCATGTACATGACATTGTATAGTATGCAGTGCTGCCAAATAATTTTCGCCCAAAATCGGACACCCTTCACCGCCAAGGCGGGCCACATGGTGCGAATTTTTCTCCTCGGCAAATTTTTTACAGAGAATTCAAAATATCGCCTAAAACACCATGAAAATTCGCTTCGTTGCCATGGTAACCCCGGAGTTGTCATGAATTTTGTAATGATGAGTGTGGTCGCACACTGACTCTGGACACACTGTCAGCGTACATGCCATCCAGCCTGATCCAGGCATGTTACTTTGCACTTCCACAGCCAAGCGCTAGCCTTTTTAGAAGCACATGTACAGTGATTTGTGCCTTCAGAAGTTCAGTTGCGCTGAAAAGTGAAAGTACAGGACTTCTGCAAAGGAAAGTAATGATCTCCGACATTTTGGCTGCTTTTCGGACGTTTCCCTTTTCGGACCGGCTTTCGGAAGAGCCTTCAAAAATCGGACGGTTGGCAGCACTGAGTATGCTACCATAATGGGAAATAGCCCGCTGATACTACACAGTTCCCTGTGAGGTGACTTACTGTGCCACATGAACATGTTAGTCACCTTCATTTCTCTCCTCTCCCGCAGCAACTCAAACCATTCCACAGTAGCCAGGTGATGTCCAAAGAAACAGAAGTACATGGTAAACCTAGGAAGCAACACAAACACAGCAGCCCGGGAGCCAGTGACTACAGCACGGTGAGCGGATATTATATACAGTAAAACCGGTAACTAAAGACCACCCGGCGTGACTAGTGACCAGCCTGCTACTACCGGTCTCACATTTATATTATGGTTGTGCGGCGCAAACCTCTAACTAAAGACCACCTGCCACTAAAGACCGCTTTCTCTGGCCCCAACTTGGGGTGGTCGTTAGTCACAGGTTTTATTGTACTTTTCATGCTAACAAAGTCGAACCACCTAGCTGTCTGGAGACTGAAGATGAGAATGTTAGATGCAATAGCTCACGAGCCGCAACATAAAGTGTATTTTGAAGTGCGCTGCATAAGCACGTGACAGGATAAGTCTAGAACTAGCCGAGCCAGTATGGCAGTGTAGCAATCACCAGCTAATAATGCTGCCGAAGAGCATGCAGAAGGTAATACCATGCAGGGGTAGCTTAAACAAACGCCTGGATCAAACATAACAGGACGTGCATAGGGACACAGGGAATCGTCCGCACCAAGGAAAGCATAAATGTCACACTCTGGCGGGGAACCAGAAACTCATCATCGTGAATAAACTGTGAACAGGAGCATAGCGGTACCTCCTCCCTCTGCTTACAACGTGCTAAATCCATGCATGCAGTAGGGTAGAGCCTTTTCTTAACCAAATCATGGCTGCATGAAGCATACTGATTTCTCTGCAAATTTTATAAATAGAGGTATGCAGTACCAATAGTCAGCCAACAGCTCCATTCATGGAGTAAGAAGGGTTTCGTCATGACTGCCACCTACTGAGCCAAGCTGTTCAACCCACCAAGTCACACCCAGAAGCAGTGTAGTCTTGCGTCTATCGCCTTTCCGCAGCATTTCCGAAATGAAAGTCTCGTCCTGCGAGCACACAACAAAAGCGAAACACAGCTTGCCAAGGAATGGTTGACGGAAACTCAAGAAATACATGCTACACCAGCGCCATGCAACACAACTATTGAACATACAGTAAAACTTGTAACTAAAGACCACCGTGACTAGCGACCAGCCTGGTGCTACAGACCACTTTGCCAGGCACGGACGGTCTCATATTCATAATTATATGGTTGTGCGGTGCAAACCTCTAACCTCTAACTAAGGACCACCTGCCACTAAATACCGCTTTCTCTGGCCCCACGGGGTGGTGGTTAGTCAGAGGTTTACTGTAACTAGACCTACAAACTGTCTCCTACTACATGTAAGTTAGTAGAGAGCAAACAGGGACTACTGGTACACGAGTGAAGGAACCCGTGACATCCTGCAGCTGTGCAACCAAGCTTAATTCACACAGCAAACATGGAATTCGTGGTGTAGAACGTATGTAGTTCTAAAGGAAGTGATCAGCTTTCGTTGGCCAGCATAGTACTACACAGGCTAGAGAATTCAATTTCCAAGCACTTTTAGACCGTTCTTAGCAATACACACAAAACAGTTCAGTAAACACTCGGCACCTTTTCCTCCACTTCTGCTAGTTGCTCCTGAACCGATCCATCAGGCTCGTCTCCTTCCTGCTTCTTCCTCCGTTCCAGTGCTGACTTCTCCGCTTCGGTGATCAGATTAACTTGCGGCAGGGCAATCTGGCGACGCTGGGCAAACTTTGCCAGCACGCTGTAGGCATCATCAAAGAGCCTCTGCTCTCCGAGGAAACGGGGTGATTCGGATGCCTGACCGGTAATGCAAAGAGCAGGACAGTACACTGAGACTACAAGATACACACCTGCATCCATCATTCCCGCACGCTAGGCACTATGCCTGTGTACTTGTGAGCAAGCACTATGAATACCGAGGCTGGGAGAAACCTCACTCTCTGGACATTCTCCAAACTCGGCACATGGTGGAGCAAGGACTTTTACTAGTTTAGTTTATAGATATCCTTATATAGATCTCCTTCATATTGTGTGCGCGTACATGTACAGGATGCGGAGAGTGAGTGTACGGCATCCATCTATCGTGCACTGAATACTTCAGTACAAATATGTCCAAGAAGACTATTGCCCAGTGTTACTTAATCCCGACTTTGCCCAGTGTTACTTAATCCCGACTTTGCCCAGTGTTACTTAATCCCGACTTTGCCCAGTGTTACTTAATCCCGACTTTGCCCAGTGTTACTTAATCCCGACTTTGCCCAGTGTTACTTAAAGGGGAAGTCCGGTGAAAATTTAAATTTCAGGGTCGGTAGAGTTTCGGGCGCTGAGTCGAATGGTGTTGGTCCCACGTGTCTCCGACAAAGCGTTCTCGAGATATTTCCGTTTGAAAAACTGAGTTTCGGGGGCTGCGCCATGACGTCATGCGTCCGCGCCACACCCTCTGCAACGTCATAGCGTGCAGCTAGGTCAAAAGGAGTGCGTGAAAGCAATAGTGTCAGTGCTATTTCAAATGATTTGGTGACTGATATTAGGTGGTGCAAGCGACCCCGAAGACCTGTAACTCCTTGTGAGAGTGAGGATGCAGCCATGGCTGACCTTCATGAGTTCGGTCTGGGGCTGAGAACCTCTGTATTCAGCTGAAGAAATGGCCGCACGGGCCGGTCAAGAGTCAGCGCTACTGAGTTTCCGACTGATGAAGAAGCAGCAGCTATTGCAGACGAGGCTGATGTAATTATCAGATCGCTGGAGAGCAGGGTCGCCAAAATGGAGAAGAGTGATGCGAGTGCTCTAAATGTTGTTCCATACCGATTAGATTCGCTTAGACTCCAGTAGCCTGCCACATGGTGATGTTTTGGTGCGAACTTGGAATTATTTCGGACTACTCAATAGATGACTTGCACAAAGATCCGAGCCGCGAGTGAGACGGGGCAAGTGCACCCTGTGCACCCAGGCTACACTGCGTGCACCCTACACCGTCTGTAGTGTCCTTTTTTTGTCAGCATGAATGAACGGTGCACGGCATGTACATGATGTACATGTACATGCCGTGCACCGTCACTGTCTTCAGCAGCTCATGAGTCATGTACACTTGTAGGGTTAGTGGAAGTACATGACTGTATATTATGTGAAGAGAAGCCAGGCGTTCAAACCAACCCAAAATACTCTTGCCATATTCTTCGGTGAAATAGTTATAAAAAAATTGTCTTACTAAACAACAGTGAGCATAGAAGCAACCTCGATGCACCCAATAATATGGCATCCGGGAACAGCAAGTGTTGCACGAGGATCCCAAGAACACGTCAAGTTCCATGCTACCCGCCGCCATCAAAAGAACGAAGGATAACTGTGCTAGCCTAGTTCATATTCAATGTAACGCTATCGGTACGGGATATAGGAGCCTGTTGGGAAGGCGTGGGTGAGCTGTTAAAATCTTGTACGGTTCGCACAGCACAACATACATGCAGCAGTTATTGCGACGGTTAACGTCGATGGACGAGAGTCATAAAGCACAGTCCATGGGGGTTAACGTTTCTGGGCTTCCTTTCCGAAAGGAATTTTTTATTTCTTCTCTAATAAAGCAGAATCATGCTGATTATACCAGTCTGTTATGAAGACAAGAAAGCAGCCATGGACATTGTGCCACACTAAAGGAACGACAGGTAAAAGATAAAGCACTTCATCTGAAAACTCAAGGACTATCCATAAATACAGCAAATGATAATCCTAGCCTGGTAATGTCCAACTCCGTCATGTGAGCCATTCGGTGGGAAGCACAATGTTCGAAATGCTGAAATTTGAACAGTTGCAGTTGTGTTCGTCGCCACACAATGCCATCGCCAGTTCACATTCGAAATGTAGCCATTTTTACGCTTGTGTCCCTGTACACGGCATGGAAGGCTGAACAGATTCAACTCTTCCATCGCTTCCTGATCTGTACAGTAGTGCGGTTGCGTTCCCGTTCCTGACACTCACATCCGTCTCCGCTAACCAGCATCATGAGCACTCCAATGGTTCCCGCCGCTCCTTCCGTATCGTCCCAGCGCGCCCCGTCAAGATGTGAATTACTGGAGGCAACGGAGCCAGTGTATGATGAAGGCGAATGCACTGTTTGATGATGCTCCAACAAATCCTTTCACCGTTGTGCGGAATTTGTAAGAAGAGTAGTGGCTCAACTGTAGGTCCAACGCAGAAGGTACCTCACAGCGCAGTTATGTTACGTCCACAATAATGAACATACTCAGCAGACTGTGATGTGTATCAGACACACTCTGGCATTATTTGTTCCACATTCTCCCAGGAGATGAAATGTAGTTCAATCATGTCTTTAGTACATGGGGTACCGTTGCCTCGTTGCAACTAAACAGGTATGCAAGTTACTTTCCCATGAGACCCAGCCGCAGCCGCATCGTCGTCATTACCAGCTAATCATGAAGAGGTATAATGTGACTTTCCACCACTCCCTGATTCAATCATAGTTTGCGAGCCTGCGCCAAACTGCTTTCTCACTAGAGCCAGGCATCGGATACATATCCGGGCTTCAGTAAGGCTAACAATGCTATGTCTCTGGCCTAGATCCAAGTCTAGATTCAGCTGCTCAGAGTAAGGGCTGATGAAATGTTCATATCGGAACAAGTGAGACTTCAACAGTAGCTAGTACACATCAGGCCTGAGGACTTCGCAGCGTTTCTCCAGCACACTTGTTCTCTCCTTCAACTCAGATACTACTTGAAGTACTACTAAAGGCCATCTGGCTCTCATACTCAGTCCTTCCACCCTTCATTTTCATGGTTTAGGCTTCCACTCGTCACTCGGCAGGTTCCTGGCCTCTCCGCAGTCTGTCCTCAGGAGAGGGTCGCTCTGGAGCTAGTGCAGCCGATTGAAAGGGAATCGAGTTCTTTCTCAGACGTCCACAAACTTTCGTTGTGCTTCACTTCGCTTCCACTGCGGGAAAGTAGTCACACTTCAGGACCACGACGTGCTTGTTGCAGCCTACACCAATGATACTAAAATAATATTCCCTCATTTTTCTGCCTCCCGAACGGCCGGCTCGGAAAGGAACGTATGGAATGGGAGCCTCAGTTCCATCTCTCGTCTGCTAGTTCATTCAGGAGCGCAGCAGCGCTTCGGCATGACCGATACAAGTCGAATCAAAACAACTCTACCCTCTAGCTAAAAAAACTAGCTCAGTGTTCGTCAGGCAAAAAGCGAAATTTCGAAAGTCACGAACTCAAAAGGTGGGGAAGTGCAGAGTCAGAAGGTCCACTTGCCCCGTCTCGAACCCAGACAATCTTTGTGCAAGTCATCTATTGGAGAACAGTGCAGGCTCTTTGAACCACGGGCACGACTCTTCGCTCGCAACGCTATGGAATCTGAAAGTTCTAGGTCCGGGAGCTGTTCGCTGTTTTGTCACTTGTCACGGTTGTGCACTCATCGCTGTAGCATAAAATAATGAGGCGGGTGCGGAAAACTAAAATTTTCTTTCTCAAAGCACAGCCACCGGCACCGGCAAGGAGAAACGCACGTTCTCTGACTACAGGACTGTACAATACGACTGATACGAGTCGAGTGTATGACAAGTCCGTGTGTTGACTAGTTTTCTGAGTCTTGTGTCAGTTGTGACATGAGTTTGTTGACTGCACTACAGCTAGATAACACACTGCACGCACTGCATGCACGCAGCGCAGAGCGCGTAGAGCCGCCCGTAGACCATGGTAGACGGGCTGACGGAAAAGTCCAACTCGGAAACGGCTAAAATACGGTATAACCTCCAGGTTTACCGAGCTGAAAATTACAGGGTACGTAGTGTTTGTAACACTGAATCGAATGGTCTTGGTCCGAAGAAGCTGCGACAAACGGTTCCCCAATCGAACGCGCTCCGAATATGGCCATTTTTGTACACAACTAGATGGCGTGGCTACCTGGCTGCACGCTGTGACGTCATCACCTGGATCTGGGTGATGCGCGCTCAAATTCGCACATGTTCGATTGGGCGTATCTGACGAACCATAAGCCGCAGCCTCCTCGGACAAAGACCATTCGACTCAGCGACCCGAACTCTACGGACTGTGAAATTTAAATTTTTCACCGGACTTCCCCTTTAATCCCGACTTTGCCCAGTGTTACTTAATCCCGACTTTGCCCAGTGTTACTTAATCCCGACTTTGCCCAGTGTTACTTAATCCCGACTTTGCCCAGTGTTACTTAATCCCGACTTTGCCCAGTGTTACTTAATCCCGACTTTGCCCAGTGTTACTTAATCCCGACTTTGCCCAGTGTTACTTAATCCCGACTTTGCCCAGTGTTACTTAATCCCGACTTTGCCCAGTGTTACTTAATCCCGACTTTGCCCAGTGTTACTTAATCCCGACTTTGCCCAGTGTTACTTAATCCCGACTTTGCCCAGTGTTACTTAATCCCGACTTTGCCCAGTGTTACTTAATCCCGACTTTGCCCAGTGTTACTTAATCCCGACTTTGCCCAGTGTTACTTAATCCCGACTTTGCCCAGTGTTACTTAATCCCGACTTTGCCCAGTGTTACTTAATCCCGACTTTGCCCAGTGTTACTTAATCCCGACTTTGCCCAGTGTTACTTAATCCCGACTTTGCCCAGTGTTACTTAATCCCGACTTTGCCCAGTGTTACTTAATCCCGACTTTGTCCAGTGTTACTTAATCCCGACTTTGCCCAGTGTTACTTAATCCCGACTTTGCCCAGTGTTACTTAATCCCGACTTTGCCCAGTGCTACTTAATCCCGACTTTGCCCAGTGCTACTTAATCCCGACTTTGCCCAGTGCTACTTAATCCCGACTTTGCCCAGTGTTACTTAATCCCGACTTTGCCCAGTGTTACTTAATCCCGACTTTGCCCAGTGTTACTTAATCCCGACTTTGCCCAGTGTTACTTAATCCCGACTTTGCCCAGTGTTACTTAATCCCGACTTTGCCCAGTGTTACTTAATCCCGACTTTGCCCAGTGTTACTTAATCCCGACTTTGCCCAGTGTTACTTAATCCCGACTTTGCCCAGTGTTACTTAATCCCGACTTTGCCCAGTGTTACTTAATCCCGACTTTGCCCAGTGTTACTTAATCCCGACTTTGCCCAGTGTTACTTAATCCCGACTTTGCCCAGTGCTACTTAATCCCGACTTTGACTATTCGTTGACGGCAGTGTTCTACATATATTCCCACAGGGACAGGGAGATCTGCACTTCTTCAAGTAAGATCTGCACTTCTTCAAGTAAGATCTGCAGTTATTCAAGTAAGATCTGCAGTTATTCAAGTAAGAGGCAATCCAAAGTTCATTGGACACCAGCTTTAGGCAATGCATGTCATCAAGAGTACATCTCAGTAATCTCAGGACGGTGTGCAACTGCTAATACAACCTGTATCCAGTGCTAGTTGTTGTTGTTGTTCTGTTGTTGTTGTTGTTGTTGTTGTTGTTGTTGTTGTTGTTGTTGTTGTTGTTGTTGTTGTTGTTGTTGTTGTTGTTGTTGTTGTTGTTGTTGCTGCTGCTACTGCTGTTGCTGCTGCTGCTGCTGCTGCTGCTGCTGCTGTTGTTGTTGTTGTTGTTGTTGTTGTTGTTGTTGTTGTTGTGGCTGTGTACTAAGTCTTTATTTGGCTGGATGGCAGACTTTCACCTCACGACACATGGCTCAAAAGGTTACACTAGCAAACAGTGCAAAGCTATCCCCACAGAGTTGTACGCAGAGCAAGGTTCTGCACAACCCCGTACCAAAGCAGGGTTGCGTACAACCCTGTATCTACCATACACAGGGTGAAAATAGTGTGATACGGGTTTGTCCCGTGATGTGAAGGTCTGCCGTCCATAGTATCCAGAGTATCTTGTCCACAGGCAGAATGCCAGGCAAAAGATGGCTGCCGTACTGGGATCTCACTCTCTACTTACCAGCAGTAGAAAGTTGAGGATAATAAGGAGCGGAAGGTGAATGCCTATCACCAGCCATGGCCACCTGCGTCCAGCCAGTAGCAACAGCGGAATCTCTATCATCATGCCCACTTGCCAAAGTGTCTGCACATACCGATAAGGACACGCATATACGCCAAGGCACACAGGAAAGAAGATGGCTAGTTCGAAGCTGTGACATAAAGGACACGTCATACTCAAGATACTATTACACTTCACAGGCTGTGCTAATCAACTTCAGACGATCAGCTAGGTAGCTTCACGGTGGAGAACTGGCAATATCACGGGTTTCTTACCACCATCGTCAGCAGTGCTTCTTGATGTCGGCGAATTGGTAAACTTTCAAACATCCACGTTGTCCTGAGCAGAGACCAACACGGCACAGGCAACTTGTATTAGCCCAGGGGTTAGTGGCTCAGTGCTAGTGATCCCAGTCAGGCTTTCTGTGACCAGGCTGCGTAAACATGAACGCCGGGCTGGCCTACAGTCTGACTGCAGGAGCATCCTATATTGGAGACCCTGATTTCAATGCGTGCACTGTGTGCAGTGCTCACCACCCCCTCCTCACACCACCATTGTCTTCCCATTCAAAGTCAAAGTCAGACAGGCCATTGTGCATCAGTATAAAGCACAAATGCTCCCTTTGACGCCATACTCCCTTCCCATCTTCACACGCTATTAACGTATCATGCCGCGCTCATCACACTACCACCTATACCACTAGTTCACTACCCTCATCGATCAGAAGCTGTGTGCGCTACTGGACAGTGCGCTATGAGCCGGCAGCTGTGAATTCTCCGAAAGATGACAGTATGAGCCGGCAGCTGTGAATTCTCCGAAAGATGACAGTATGAGCCGGCAGCTGTGAATTCTCCGAAAGATGACAGTACCCCGTGACAGGTACACTACACTGCCGCGATGATGTGGTACTTACCTGATGTTCATGCCGCCGATGGCAAAGCCGGACACAAACCTGAAGATCAGCAGCAGTGTACTGGTGTAGGTGAACAGGACTAGCGAGGAGACCACAACCAGTAGTGTTGTCGCTGCCACCAGGGACTGAACAACCAAGAAAACAACCCCACAGATGCATCCGTAAACCATGAATCCTTCGTATGCAGTAATGATAGATTAATAGTTTCTATTTGTTTTCTACATTGGACTACATGTATGTGTACCTCAAAATTGAACTGTACTCTGTAGATTGGCACAAGTATGATGCCCGCAGTACAACCATGCACTTGCACAGTATTAGCACTATAGAAACCCACACCATGATCCGACAGAAGACCAGCATGGCTGGCGCCAGTCAAGCAGCTTTGTGATATAGCTAAAAACAACAAGCGTTTCCGTAGGTGACACTTGCTTGAAGTGAACACATTCGCATCACAGGCACAATGAGAGACAGCTCCTCAGCGGCTTGTTACGTAAGCAGTCTTGTGTTGCCCGCTACCAACGGCATGAGGCAAGGAACCTAAACATCATGTGAGTCATGACTACAGTGTACGATCATCTATAGAAAATACTAGGGGAGGACACGCATGGAAGTGTGGTACAAGCGATTAGAAGAGGTTGATTGCTAGCACAGTCATGTACTTACAGGTAATACACAGTCATGTACTTACAGGTAATACACAGTCATGTACTTACAGGTAATACACAGTCATGTACTTACAGGTAATACACAGTCATGTACTTACAGGTAATACACAGTCATGTACTTACAGGTAATACACAGTCATGTACTTACAGGTAATACACAGTCATGTACTTACAGGTAATACACAGTCATGTACTTACAGGTAATACACAGTCATGTACTTACAGGTAATACACAGTCATGTACTTACAGGTAATACACAGTCATGTACTTACAGGTAATACACAGTCATGTACTTACAGGTAATACACAGTCATGTACTTACAGGTAATACACAGTCATGTACTTACAGGTAATACACAGTCATGTACTTACAGGTAATACACAGTCATGTACTTACAGGTAATACACAGTCATGTACTTACAGGTAATACACAGTCATGTACTTACAGGTAATACACAGTCATGTACTTACAGGTAATACACAGTCATGTACTTACAGGTAATACACAGTCATGTACTTACAGGTAATACACAGTCATGTACTTACAGGTAATACACAGTCATGTACTTACAGGTAATACACAGTCATGTACTTACAGGTAATACACAGTCATGTACTTACAGGTAATACACAGTCATGTACTTACAGGTAATACACAGTCATGTACTTACAGGTAATACACAGTCATGTACTTACAGGTAATACACAGTCATGTACTTACAGGTAATACACAGTCATGTACTTACAGGTAATACACAGTCATGTACTTACAGGTAATACACAGTCATGTACTTACAGGTAATACACAGTCATGTACTTACAGGTAATACACAGTCATGTACTTACAGGTAATACACAGTCATGTACTTACAGGTAATACACAGTCATGTACTTACAGGTAATACACAGTCATGTACTTACAGGTAATACACAGTCATGTACTTACAGGTAATACACAGTCATGTACTTACAGGTAATACACAGTCATGTACTTACAGGTAATACACAGTCATGTACTTACAGGTAATACACAGTCATGTACTTACAGGTAATACACAGTCATGTACTTACAGGTAATACACAGTCATGTACTTACAGGTAATACACAGTCATGTACTTACAGGTAATACACAGTCATGTACTTACAGGTAATACACAGTCATGTACTTACAGGTACATAATACACAGTCATGTACTTACAGGTAATACACAGTCATGTACTTACAGGTAATACACAGTCATGTACTTACAGGTAATACACAGTCATGTACTTACAGGTAATACACAGTCATGTACTTACAGGTAATACACAGTCATGTACTTACAGGTAATACACAGTCATGTACTTACAGGTAATACACAGTCATGTACTTACAGGTAATACACAGTCATGTACTTACAGGTAATACACAGTCATGTACTTACAGGTAATACACAGTCATGTACTTACAGGTAATACACAGTCATGTACTTACAGGTAATACACAGTCATGTACTTACAGGTATTACACAGTCATGTACTTACAGGTAATACACAGTCATGTACTTACAGGTAATACACAGTCATGTACTTACAGGTAATACACAGTCATGTACTTACAGGTAATACACAGTCATGTACTTACAGGTAATACACAGTCATGTACTTACAGGTAATACACAGTCATGTACTTACAGGTAATACACAGTCATGTACTTACAGGTAATACACAGTCATGTACTTACAGGTAATACACAGTCATGTACTTACAGGTAATACACAGTCATGTACTTACAGGTAATACACAGTCATGTACTTACAGGTAATACACAGTCATGTACTTACAGGTACATTAATACACAGTCATGTACTTACAGGTAATACACAGTCATGTACTTACAGGTAATACACAGTCATGTACTTACAGGTAATACACAGTCATGTACTTACAGGTAATACACAGTCATGTACTTACAGGTAATACACAGTCATGTACTTACAGGTAATACACAGTCATGTACTTACAGGTAATACACAGTCATGTACTTACAGGTAATACACAGTCATGTACTTACAGGTAATACACAGTCATGTACTTACAGGTAATACACAGTCATGTACTTACAGGTAATACACAGTCATGTACTTACAGGTAATACACAGTCATGTACTTACAGGTATTACACAGTCATGTACTTACAGGTAATACACAGTCATGTACTTACAGGTAATACACAGTCATGTACTTACAGGTAATACACAGTCATGTACTTACAGGTAATACACAGTCATGTACTTACAGGTAATACACAGTCATGTACTTACAGGTTTTTTTTAACTTGGTAAACCGGCCTCTTGTACGGGCAGAATTAAGTAACACAATGATACAATAAAAACAAGTACCAGTAGTTACATACATGGACCATACGAGAAAAAGCAATGATGACGAGGCATAAACAAGTGTCTAGTGCTGTATGGCAGCTTCCGAGACAGCGAGTCGAGCGGATGACTCAGCCACCTCCGGGTGCGAATACAGCCGTCGTGCACCACGCAGGCAAGCCACGCCTGCACGGAGAAGGGCGAAGCTGAACCTGCAGCGGATCCATGCCATCACTGCAGAGTATGGCTCACCAGATTTGTCGGAGACCATTGCAGCTATTCTCTTGAGGAGAGCGGCAGCAGCTCGACCAGTACCACCAGTTGCAGCGAAAACCACAGGGATGAAGGTTCCACGCTCGACCTCCTTGACGCGCTGTTCGTATCGCCTCCGTTTTTCACGTTCATGACGCTGGTAGCAAGCGGTGATGGAAGAGGATCGATTTGAGGGAGCAAAGGGGTTGAAAACCCGAATATCGAGAAAGACTCTCTCAAACCGACCTCCCCAAACACCACTCGCCGCAACATCAAGTCGAGCCTGGTCATCTGTGGAGGCAGTCTTGTAGCGGAGCTGCTCACCAGAGAGCGGTTGTAAGTGTGGCTCGATAGCGACACTATTGGCGACACGTTTCAATAGCGAGGCAGTGATGTCCCGCACCTCATTGTGTCGAAGTGACGGGAAACCTCCGGTGCTGCATGTCAGGGCATGGGCTACTGTGAAGCTGGCTCCACAGACACAGGTTGACGGTAAGCGAGAAGGCCGCCAGCCATAGCGCAGTGCCAAACCATCGCGGAACTCGCTTTTGGATAGCACAAATCCATGACGGGATAGCGGACGACAAGTAAGCCAGCTGGAGGCGCCAGGCTCACTTGCCAACTGAATTGTGTGCTGCAAAGTGGGCGATGCGTCGGCAGCGAAGCCACGGATGTCGGTCTTCGCTTTCTGGCGGTGATCTGCACGCTGTGACGCTTTGGCTGAGGCAACGCTGGCAAGAGCTTCCGTCACACTGAAGTCTTGGTCGAGGATGTTGGTGGTGAGCGCCGCTGTGATCGCGCGGGATGAGGCGTATTGGGTTGTTAGAGATGTTGGATTGACGATGCCCAGGCCACCATCCCGGCAAGGGAAGGCAAACAGCCGTCGCAGCTCCAGACTGACGTCTTCTCCAGTCAGGGCTGGCAGCAGCTTGGTAACAATGGCGTGTTCCAACTGATCAAGACCACTGGACGCATCCGGCAGAACACGACACAAGAATGTCCAGCGGCATGAGAGAGCACGAACAAAAGTAGTGTACGCTGCCTGGGGCTGGGTACGAGCGAAGGATGAGAGTGTCTCAATCTGCTTGCACCATTCATTGGCCTTCTCCTGGATGAACCCGTGGATGTAGTCGGGCGTGCCAATAGCGGAACCCAGGTAGCGGTTGCCGTCAGATGTTACTTGGATGCCAGTATCAGCGAAGAGGCGCACAGCGTCGTCGTAGGCATGTGGCTTGACCACAAGCACAGACTTCCGGGCATTGAGGTGATATCCGTAGGACGGACCTTCAGCCTGCAGCTTGTTCCACCACGATCGAATTGCTACCAGACGACCACCTGCAGATGAATCGTCCGCGTACCATAGCTGGCAGGTGTCCGGGGTTGCTACCGCTCTCACAAGTGGGAGGATGCCGAGGGCATAGAAAGGCATCGCCAGGGGGTCCCCCTGGGTTGTGCCTTCTTGGGACAGAATACACTCCCCTGCCACATACAAGTTGCTCGGCCGCCGGTACGAATTGATCACAACTGCTGCAAGAGAGGGGCATTGGTGGCGAATGTTTCGGATGGCCACATTGCGGTTCAGGTTATTGAACGCATTGGCCGCGTCCGCCATAATGACGCCCTCCGTTTCTTCTTGGCATGTACTTACAGGTAATACACAGTCATGTACTTACAGGTAATACACAGTCATGTACTTACAGGTAATACACAGTCATGTACTTACAGGTAATACACAGTCATGTACTTACAGGTAATACACAGTCATGTACTTACAGGTAATACACAGTCATGTACTTACAGGTAATACACAGTCATGTACTTACAGGTAATACACAGTCATGTAC